AAATAAAGCAATGAAAAGAAGAATAAAGATGTTGACAACGTTATGTGTAGTGGTGCAGGAAATGTGTGATTGGGAAAGTAAAAAAAAAAGGAAAAAAAAGGCGACTGTGCAATTGTGCCATGTGAACTGGCAGCAGAGCAGCCTTTTTTTTTTTAAATAATTCCTTTGTTTATTTTCATTTCTTTTATTTTATTAAGAACAGCTTTACAGTATATATTTGTGGGGAGCAGCACGTATTAATTACCCTTCCCCTTCCCCCCCCCCCCCCAAAAAAAAAAAAGAAAAGAAAAACGCTTTCACCACCCCACAGATATTTCCATCTTTTTGAACTTATTTGAAGTTTTTTTCCATGATATATATTAGTATATAATTATATAATACGTATATTGTTTTATACGTGCTGTCATCGACCTTCGAAGCTCAAAGTGGTCCGAAAGGTCAATTCATCCTGGAGTGCGCTCAGATTATGATATACAGTACAACACGCTATTATTACCTCTGCATCTAGACTGACAGGTGCCCCAAATACAGCTATAACGACCGCAAATAGAATTCTATTCGAAGGAAGAAGGCAGCCGAAAGTCAATCCTTGATGGCAAAAGAGCATACATGCCTTTGTGGGGGGTGGGGGGGGGGGGGGGGGGGGTTTAACCTCTTTTTAACCCACGTTAGTGGTGGGGTTTTGTACCTTCTTTTTGTTGTACCTTCTTTTCAACCCATGTTAGCCGGGTGGGATCTTATGTGTTTCGCGTGACGAATGGCTTTGTCGACCATTCAGGAGGCAACCCATTTAGTGGGGTTGTGAAGCTTCTTTTTAACCCATGTTAAATGTAACACGGTCTTAATGACGACTTTCTTATGAATGGGCCAAAGTCAAAGTCAACCCACGTTAGCAGAATTGGATTGGGGTGTGAACGTAATTTATGCTCAATTAAGCCCACTCGATCAAATAAAGTCTCCGCTGAAACACAAGACGACAGCATCATCATCAATGCATCGGATCCTCGTTGCGGGTTTCTATACAGTCCTGAAGATTGAATATATATATTTTGAATTTTTTTTTATATTTTTAATTTGGTATGGAATTTTGATGATTCCTGAGGCAAAAGTTGTTCAGTTTCTTTTTCTGCAAAACATAGGAGTTTTTTATTTTCTTCGGATTTTTTTTATTTTTTATTTTTTTTGCTGGGACTTGTCCTTGCACGGGCTGGCCGAGCGGCCCGGCTGGTAGCCTAGCTTGAAAGTAAATATATGATGCCTTTGCGAGCTCACAGTTCAATACAGACTCAAAGGGAAAAGAAAAAAAAGAACATGAAAACTAAAAAGATCATGCACTGCATATAGGGGAAGAGGGGAGAGGCTCAGGGACAAGGGGACCCTCCCTCCCTCCACTGCAGAACAATCTGTAAGTACCTGGACATTGCCTATGGTCCCAATGCACTCACAACGTTTGGCCACTCCAAATGTATCGGGCCCAACCTGCTGTCCAGATACTTGCTGAATATTGAGAAGGGGAGGGAGTCTTAGGAAACGTACAGGCCACTACAGGAGCGCCCAAAGTCATCCGAGTAGAAACGTTTCTACTCCTTTTTTTTCCTGCAGCCGATAGCTGGGCCTAGTACTGGTGGTTTAAACCACCAGTGCTTCCAAGCCTCTTCTGCCCGAGGCACTTTTTTTTTCTTTTTTTTTTTTGAGACGATGCTCCAATCTATTCCTGCCCGAGGCACATTTACATTCGTGCAGCGAGCCAACGAATAGGAGACCCCTGTGGCCAAAATTTAACTTGTTGGTTCTGGCGACCAGCACCAGCCGAACGCGACAAGTCACATGCCGTGCTGTTTGCCGTGTCATAGAAAAATAGCTGGGACACATGCTGGTGGTTTAAAGAGCACCAGTACACCACACACAGGAATGCGGGTGTCAGCATGAAATCCACACCACTTAGGAGGCCGCAATTTTTCGGGCCGGGTGGCCCCTTCGAGTTTTGCTTGTGGCGACAAAAACTTTCTGCAACACTAGAGCCGTGTACTGGCGGTTTAAACCACCACTACACCTGAGCCTGGCCTGGCGGGATTTTTAGTGCGCACCAAGCTTGCTGCACCCCGAGCAGCGGGCAGTGCCTGGGACACCTTTGTCTTTTCTACTGGCGCCGCCGCCCATTCTGGTCCCATAGGCCCGAATGGGACTCCATAGCCTCGAGATAGGCCCGAATGAGACTCCATAGCCTCGAGATAGGCCCGAATGGGACTCCATAGCCTCGAGATAGGCCCGAATGGGACTCCATAGCCTCGAGATAGGCCCGAATGGGACTCCATAGCCTCGAGAACCTCCATCTTCGAAGAGTTGGCGGGGCCATGTCCCGGTGGTTTAATGATTCCGCTTGTGACGCAGCTTGGCGTTAAAAACAGTAGTTCATGTATGTCTAGCTATATTCCACGTGTGCATTAGATAAAGGGCCTCGCTCCACTGCCCAACACTCTACATGCATTTGCATGCTTTCTGGACCAGGTGCATTCGGACGAGTTCAACATTTTGAATCTATCCGTTCCAGGTGTCCAAATGCATGTGGAGTGTTGTGTAGTGGACCAAGGCCCAAAAACCTTGACGGCTGAAAAGCCATTATAGATGAGAAGCAAGACACGACACAAAAATTGAA